GAGAGCAATGGTAAGAAAAGCATCCTTCCTTCTAACCCGCCTGCAAACAGCCTCTCAGCAAACCCCTGCAACGGCACTTGGCATTGCAGCTTCGTGAGTCAGTAGCATCCCTGTACACTTCACATTAAAACCTTATTTACTACAGTTTCATTCACCTGTGGGAACCACCAGTGACTTGAGTTTGTATAAAATATGGTTGTAGCAACTATATCATTGCTCTGAGTGTACAACTCCCACATTATCTGTCATTTTAAGAGAAGCTGGTCAGTGGAGATGAGAAGCAAATGATGGTGGTTTGATCAGCTGTATTTTGGTAGCTCACCAGGTTATCATTGCCAGCCGGTGGAATTGGATAAGGAGTTTGCAGAAATCATTGCTTTGCAAATGGGTGATGTAGGTGTTACGCACTTGAGAAGTCAACTTCTAAATGACTTGCTAGGGGCTGTTTTGGTGTATGGTAACAGAATTACTGCTCAAGAACTGTTTTTGGTTTTGTTTTAACAAGAAAGTAATTGAAGTGACTACGGCCCCTTTGAAGTCTTTACAATAAGCAAAGATTCCGATTAATTTAGCAGCAGGGCATCAGTGGCTATTAACAGCTTAACATGAGGCCCTGATAGATTGATAAGGAGCTAAACAGCCCCTGAATCACATATTAACAATCTGGCCATACTATAATTGAGGCTCATGTTGGGTAATTGTCAGCACGGTTGATAGGCAACACAACAGCAGCAGCTATTTGTCTTTTAAATGGGCACTTAAATTATTCAGAATAATAGTTGATAGTCATCAGTACGTCTGAGCCACAGTCCAGTTATTCTAGGCACGGATGACAAGCTTTAATTTAGTTAGCTTAAGTACAAGCACTGGGCTCTGCGTGGGCAAACTCACCTATGTCTATAAGCAATTTCTCAGGTGGCGTCTCCAGCCCGTGATGAGATCTCTCTTCTGTGGACCATTGGTGGTCCAATATGGTACATTAAGAAACTAGGATGCAGCTAGCTTGGATGTGATAACCAAACCAACCTGGGCAAACGTTTCACCTAGCATCTGAGCCACCCATGTTATATGTAGTTTTAACTCCCCAGGTCAACAGAGAAGGTAAAACCTGCAATGCTAACCAGTAGCCTTATTTTTATTTATTTATTTATTTTCGTAAGTCTGCTGTGGTTGCAGAAGATTTGAGCAATTCCCCTATGAATTTAATGTTTCTAACTAGTTTTATATGTTGTGGGACATTCTAGCCAAATAAGAGTGAAAGTTTATGAACCATTAAATGTGCAGAAGGAGTCGGTAACCACTCGGTTACTCCTCCAGTTCCTTCTTGTTGTAGCATTAGCAATTCTGAGCTAGTCACGCAGTGGGACATAGCTCAAATTAATTAGCTAAATTGCTACCTAATGGCAATAAGATTTGATGCCACTTAATATTGCAGTGCAAACATGGCAGGCAGGCAGGTTAACATACTTAGATATGATTGGCTCGCCTTTTCTAGTGGAGTATCTTAACTCCTGTTTTGGGCCGCCTACAGCACTCATTGTGCTCAATTAATTCTGCCATTAGCAGTGGTCTGATCTGCTATTAGCTCTGAGAAAATGTACAGTCATCTCCATAACCCTCTCCTTCAGTGATGACCATCCTGTGGTAAGGATGCTGAAATGCAATTTAAAGGGGAGGGAGGAAGGACACACACACTATGCTTTGTACATAATTAAGTCACATTAATGATGAGACACTTAACTACAATTTGGAGTTTATCAGCAGAAAGCTCCAAACGGTAGCTTGTAGCCTGCGATGGTGTTGGGCTGTGCACACACATGCCGCACAGTAGTCGAGCAGTTGTTTCAGGCTGTGGAAGAGATTGGGGTGGAAGGTGCTGATTTTTCTTAGTGTCCTGTGCCTGAGAAAAGTCATCGAGTTTGCTTACGCGCCTCTTGGTTTTCTTTTCTTTCCCCCTTTCTTTCCGCCCGCCCTCTCCCCCCACCCCCCTTGTGAAGCAACCCTTCTGGCTTTGTTGTAAGTGTGGTTTGTAATCATTGTACACATCCCAGATGGTTCATGAAAACTCTTTGAAATGCCATCTGCCAGGCGTGTGTCCAGCCGGCAGCCTGTCATTCTGCTACAAGAAAAACGGAGGCGGGTTTTCCCTTCCCCCTGCCTTTCTGAATTGCATTCAGTAACACTTGCTCAGATGTGAAGCAGGATAACAGCCCGAGCATCTGCAAGCAATCTTTGCTCTAGACAGCAACATGGAAAGTTGTTGGGTTTTTCGCCTTTGCCCAGATAAGATATCCTAACCAGTGTAGTTTTTATTTTCCCTCTGTTTGTTGCTGGAGACCGACGCGAGGTGACAAATGTTATCTCTCTGATGCAATGTTTTTCTTTTACGCGGCGACTTGGCGTTTCTAATGCATTCAGTGTGTGTTGGAGGCAATCGCGCTGATAGCAAGCACATCTGCGATTTTTCGACTTGAACATATTCAGGAAATTAAGAACACTGAGATGAAACAAATAGATCCATTAAAATGGCTCAGAGGAATTATGGCAGAGATATAATTGTCATGTCAAATAGGCAGCCAGCACTAGTAAACTGTTGACTGCAATTTCACTGCTATAAAAATTCAGAAGGAAAAAAATTATTAATAAATACTCTCTGTGGGAAGATACAGATAAAGAAAAGAAGGCGGCTTTAAAAGATAAAGTAAAATGAATCCTGAAGTTCCCTGATTTTTGTGTCTCATGAATGTGTGTTGTCAGTTACTGGGAAAAAGTATGTCCTGATTTTTGTCATTCGGCTCGCGTGCAGCATGGCTCAGGGTGACGTTTGACTGATGCATTGGACGAGGAGCTACAGAGTCTAATTCTCACTTCCGTTGTTCTCCAGGCATGGGACAGCTCCAGCGCATCCTTGGACATACTTATTGCTCAAGCTTTCCATTCTTCCTCCTTAACCTCTTGTGGGCCTGGTTTAGGGGAACCTGGCAGGGGTCAAGAGCCACGATGCCCTGGAGAGGGTCCTCACAGCCTGAACATTCACAGCGATGTTGGTGCTCAGGGAGGAGGTGCTGTGTCCAAGCTGTGCCCCTTCATCCTGGGTGCCTGCATGCTCCTTGCATGCCAGGGAGGGACCTGAGTGGGCATTGCCCACTCAGCCTCGCTGCCTGCCTTTAGATGGAAATGCAGATGCTCAGGAAGAGAGAGGCATGTGGTGCAGTTCCAACATTTCCCTGGTCTAGATCTGTGAAAGACATCTGTCCTCTGTTACAAACTACTTGGTAAAAATCGTTGTAGCCTTACTGTAAGGATTCAAGAATACAAAGAATGGAAAATTGAATCCTTTCTAATAGGAAAGAGTAATTCTGCTAGTAGGGTGAAGATATCCATCATCATTTCCATCCCCTTTTTTGCTTTTCCTCCTCCTGCCTTCACCCATTCACACAGCTCCAAGAGAAGGAATGATAGAAAAAGCACGGGAATTTATAGACTATCTGAAGGCTGATGGTAAATAATAAAAAAAGAGAGTGAGTTTCTATTTTGAAACAAGAAATGGAGGATGTTAGAGAAAGTGGATGTCTGTCAAGGAAATTAATCTAGTGATAGTTTTTCAAGAGTATCACTCTGTGAAGACTGACCTCTTGAACAGTCTCTCAGATGAATAGGGCATAAGCAGACTTTCCGCTTCCCTGGCACTTGAGGAAAACATTTGCCAGATGCAGGCATGGTAAATTTATGCTCTTTCAACTTCTGAGAGCTGGAATCTTCCCAATTAGTTTCCAGAAGCTCAGCTTCTTTATACTTTCTTCGGTCTTTTTATAGAGGGTTTAAGAAATTGTATGCACTGAGAAGTCACTGCCCAGGGGCCGGAAGAGTCCCACAGAAGTGAGAAATCATGCTTCATTAAATGCTAGGTATGGTTTCCACATCTCTAAAGTTATTCCCAAGCCAGCAGATTGGTTGCGGCCACAGCTCTTGGACACCTTCAACTCTCTAACGCTGCTCTTTCTTCTAAAGTTCAGTTCCCTGTACCATCTGTAAATCTGTCATTTATATTTAATCTCAGATGTACAGAATTCAGCCATCTCCTAGCCTCCAGAGTCGTGGAAAATAAAGGCTATTGAACAGAAATTGATTCTAATCAATTCAGCTGTGCTCAGTGACCTAAAATGCAGTGGCCCAAACCATCTTAGCAAAAAGTCATGAAATGACCCATCTTGCACCATGCTTCAAAGGGCTGTAAATTGGTCAGAAGGGAGAGCTGGCAGAGTAGCAGTGATCAGAGCCTCATTCTCCATGGGTAGTATTTAAATTGTCAAGTGCTAGAGAGAGATTCAATGTGAATTATTACTCAAAAGAAAAAGTGTTTCTTTAACTGGAATGAGCTTATAGGTGAACTTCTGTGAGAAGAGTTTGCAGGTTGTCTCTTTACTGAGCATGTGTGAATGGTGCATCAAAACTGTCTCACGGTACTTTTTAATGCTGAATAAAAAATAATAGCATAAATAGAGGTAAAATATTAAGAAGAGATAAGGGAGAAAAGATCTTTATAATGTGAAAGAATACTTGGTGAGATAAAGTGATACAGAAATAATGGAAACTAGAAGTTGCCTTATGTGAGAATACAGGTTGCAATTTTAGTGAAGTATGAGAGACTGTGCTAGTGGCAAGAAGGTAATTGCTGGCATATTCCCAGATACCAAACTCTTCCAGCTGTGTTTCTGCATGTGATACGAGAGATTTCTTTGCCAGAGAGTCTTTCTGGGAATATCAAAAACATTGTTGTTGGGTGGAACAACTGGTACTGCCAGCTCAACCTGTGATCTATGTCTTGCCTTGTTTTTATGTGGACTCCTAACTTTTAGCTGAACTCTTGACACAACTCTCTGTGTAGCTCACTGAATTGTATTTACAGATACTGTTGGATCTTTATGATAATTTTTTATTGTCCCTTTTAACTCTTGATAAGAAAACAGCTATATTAACGTGTTAATTTTTCCTTTCAGGCACAACCCGCCCTCCAAGAGAAGGAGAAGTGCCTGGTGTGGACTATAACTTTCTGACTGTGGAGGAGTTTCTGGAGTTGGAGCGAAGTGGGACCCTTCTGGAAGTAGGAACTTACGAAGGTATGGAGCCACGGGCAGTGAAAAAGCACTTCAAATAACCCTGGTAGGACACTAGACTTGCAACACCCTCGCTTGTGTTAACCAGCTCGAGTTAGGACCTCACTTTCCATCCTAGCGTTCTACTTCCCTTTTCTCTGTGTACCCTGACAGAGGGAATTCCAATATTGCTGTGCATTTGTCTTTCCTTCAAGTTAACTACCTCAAAAGATTAACATCAGTAGGCCAGGAAAATCCAATATGAAATCCAGTAAAGAAATACTGAGGGAAGACAGCTTGGCAGTGAATGAAAATGCATCTTTTCTTTGTATCTGCTATAGCCCATCTCCTTGTTCATTTTTTCTTCCCTCCTGCTGTCTCTCTTTCCACACATCCTTCATCACCCAATTGTGTCTCACTGTGCAGCTACATGATACAGTGCTTTTGGCCATTTTTTTCTTCTTCATTCTTGGATAATTACTTCTAACTTGGGTCATTGTGTTGATCCTTGTTACAGCACAGCTTTACAAAAAACAGCACCGAGGCAGCCAAGGGGCACTGAAATGTCACTAGGGTGACAGGAGGAAAAAGATAGCTTTGATTTCCAAGAAAATGCAAGGCAAATTGGCCATATTTAGGTACACAATAGGATTTATGTAACTAAACCTGCAATCTATATCTCCTTTAAATTGAAAACTCCTTTTGGGGTGGGTGGTTTTTTTTTTCTTTTTTCTTTTTTTTTTCTCCTGGAGAACATTCAAATGTACCTCTTGAGAAGACAATAAAAGAAATACATTACAGGCTTGAAAGTCCTTCCAGTCTACTTCAGTTCATTCATGTCATATTTCCATTTGCAAGAAGTTAAATGGGTCTTGTCATGATTACGAGAAGTTGAAAAAGCCTTATTCTTGCAGCCGTTAATAAGTTACATGAAATACATTTAAAAATGTGAACTACACACAAATAGCTGATATTTTTCTTTGAAAAGTAGTCATCAAATATGAAAAAAATATTTTGGTTTTGGTTTTCAAGCTCTAAAAAAAAGTCCTGATACACTGTTTGTTTAGTCTACTTCTTTAAAAATTCCTTGTAAGGTCACCTTTAAACCTTGCCCTTATTCCCAACTGCAGACAATTGCAGTGTCAAACCTGGTTTGCATGAAGATGCTAAATGTGTAATTTGGTTTCACTCTTCCACCTCTCTGAGCTGATTAGCTCCATCAGCACCAATGCTAACGTTCCAGCAGCAGCACTTCTCCAAAAAGAGCTTTTTCCTCTCTATGTTTCTAATTATAACACTAAATTAGTTTTCTTTGTCATGGTGCTTGAAATAGATCAGCTGAACTGCCTCGCCATTTCTTCCTGATCGTATTTGTTCTGGTGACCTTTCCACTTGGAAAGACAAAATGGGTAACTGTCTGTAAGCTGGCTCCTGGGACTTGCTGGGAACTAGTTTTCAGGAAATGCTGTACCCATCTGGGACAGTTGTAACATGGTCATTTCATTGCTTATGTGATTATATGCAGTAGCAGCTAAACTGTTTAGATTTCATGGATTGTTCTTTTGAGTTGCTGGAGATTAGGTTGACTTCTCATAAGTCTAATGTGTATTTCATTTCTGTGGGTGATAGAAGTGTCTGAGCTTTAAAGGAATAATTTGTCAGAAGTGCTGAGAAGCCTCTTTCCCCGTTGACATCAGTGATGGTGGTGCATAGTGGTTCTGGAGAGCTGGCCCATGGAAGGAGAAATCAATAAGAATAAAGCAAATAATGATGATGCATGTGTGCACATATGCATCAAGACACATTACTATTTGATTGTAATGTGAAATAAATCAAGTTCATTTTTCACTTACAGCTTCAAGAAATGATTTTGCTGCCTTCCAAGATTTCTTTAATGGCTTTGTTGTACTTTTTTTGGAAATCTTATTTTACAACTTTATTGATCAAGACAGTGTTGATCTTGATTAGATCTTGGAAGATGGTGTGATTCAGACTCAATGCTGCAATCACCAGCAATTTTGTCTATAAAAAAACCCCAATCCACCAAAAAACCCAGACCACAAAGTAAGTTAGAATTCTAATATCCAAATCTTTGTTATTGCCCAGCTTTATATTCTTAGATTACTTTAATTGCCATTTGTTTTATGCTGCATTTTGCTGCCTCCTTTTTTTTTTTTTTTTTTTTATGTACTACTGTGATGAAGTTGATTGTATTTTTGACCCTGACAATGATGGCTTATTCTAAACCAGAGGGATGGAACCCAACAAAAGCAAATAATCTATTTCTCTCTGGAGAACAATAAAATAATACCTTTAATGCATGGCTTTTATTATTAATAATGCTACCTATTGTACTGAGTAGGAATCAAACAATTGCAAAGATAGGGTTGCTTTTTATTACAATGTAATTAGGTGATTTAGAGATGAAGGAAGGGGATTGCTATGAAATGGAGAGTAGTGATGTTGAATGGGGAAGTTTTCATGTGCCTGTCAGCCACAAGCTCATGTGACTCAAACAGGCTGGTGGTTTGGGGTCAGGGTGGTCCTGAGGTGCCTTTTGGCCCTTAATTTCTAAGAATCTGTATGTGGTGTGGGGGGGAGGTGGATGTATGCTCTGTATTCCTGTGCTATGTTTCAGCAGCTGGAGTGGAAGTCTGACCCAAATGATCAAGATAAAGTTTTGGCATTACTGGATGACATGTTTGTCTCTTGAAGGCATAAAGCCACCCAGATACTGGTACTACCATTGGGAAAAACCTTGCAGGAGAAGATGTAACACAGACATTTGTTTAGTAACAGTTACTGAAGAGAACCGGGGAGAAAGATTAGAAAACAGGGAGCCGTCAGAAGAGGAGTAATACACAGGACCTTGATGCTGTTATGGATACTATTGATTTGGAAAGAAGAAAGAACAAGCAGAAGAGAACAGTTGGAAACCGTAAAGGAGTAGGAGAGTGTGTCCGGTTTTGAAAGAAAAACCTGGGTTTTGAAAGTGCTCTAATCGCAAAGAGAGAAACTGCAAGCTGAATAGGACAAAAAAGGTGTTGCCTACCTACTGGGCTACATAATGTCATTATTATTTCTTTTTTTGCACTGCAAATAGGTTCCTGTGGGCAGTTTTTGATTCACATCCCGGTGAATGCAGAGCAGGCATGGCAGCTGCTTTTCTGCTCACCTGTGACCTTCCTGGTGTGTTCTGCACCCAAAATGCTCCAAAAACCCTGATCGGGTGGGAGGGGATGTTTGAAAGCCTTAATTCCTGAGGTTTTCAGTTCCAGTTTTAACATGCTGCTTTTTAACCATAAAACCTAGAAACTACTTTTTTCCCCTAATGAAAGCTACATGTTGATCCCATGAATCCAAGAGCTGGAGCTGAAATCCTGGAAGACCTGCTCAAAGCTGTGATGCTGCACCAGTTTTGGTGGTTTTTGCATTATGTGCATGCTGGTAAAGCTGCATGCAACACGCTCAAGCCAGTTAGTAATTCCCCTTGACAATATTCATTAGGAAGGAAAAATCTTTTTGGACTGCACATTTAACTAGGCCTTCTGGTGGATAGGAAACCATGATAATTGTAATCTCAGGCATTTATTGACTGATCCTTCAGGGCATAAAATACTGATGAATGCATGGAAGTAGTTGTGTAGGTTACTAATTATTTAGCAATTACTCCTGCATTTGAGTTGTGGGCTCTCACAGGGACCCCAAGGGAGGGCTGTTTTGAGCAGAACTGCAACTTCTAGATTTTATTCCTATTTCTTCCCCTGCTGCTGAGTGGCCCTGGGCAGATCAGGTAACTGCTCTATACTTCACGTTACTGGCCTGGAGAATATTAAAACAACACTTACTTCTCTCTTCATTAATATTTCAGCAGATATCCTGTGCCTGCAGTTATCTGCTATTACAGGGAGAGAGAGAGTAGAAGCGGGAGATAGGTAGAGAGGTAGAAGCAATGGTATTTCAGAGGGCTGTGCTGAATGCAGCAGTGGAGATGGGTGCTGTGCAGAGACGCACGGGGACATTAGCATGGTGGCTGAATTTTGAATGGGGATGGCTGTGTCACTGGGGTCTGGTGAGGCTGTATTAATGAATGCCTGCCCAGCACTTAGTGATCCTCAGAAGAAAAAGTGCTGCACTTCATAACATGTGAAGGGTTATTACATTATAGCGTATTATTGTCAAGGCATCATCTTTCATTCTCAGGACAAGTGTTATGTGATTGCCAAGAGAAGTAATAAGTAATCTGCATTAGTCTCATGACTAAGATGTAATGGGGTGACTTGCTAACATTTTTAAAGTGTATAAAACTAGCTACTCTAGACAGGGTCTCCGATTGTGGTACTTAATGAATGTAATAAATTACCTTAATAGTGCAGTTAGAATTTCAGCTGAAGTAGAGAGGTGTGTTCAGCAACATGCTGCAAATCAAGATGCCTTTAGCCTAATTTATCTGATGTAGCTTTCCTTGGGTTTCTTTGCACCAGCCCTGCTCCCCCAGCTTCTGCAAAAATGGCTGGATTCTCTTTGCTGCTCTTGTGGTGTCTTTGCAGCCTGCGGGTCTCGCCAACTTGGTACAACCTTGAAATGAGAGCTGTGTCTGTGGCATGCAAAACATGACAGGAAGATTGGGCGAGTAAGGGTGGCAGATGCTGGGAATGCCCATGCAGCGGAACAACATGTTCCGCTTAATAAGATAAGATCCGCTTATTAATGTCTCCATACTACAGATTGACTCAATAAATCATAATGGCACCTTTAGCACCATTATAATGTATCATGCCGAATATCCACTTATTAACATCTGTGCACTGCAGAAAGATTCCTGTTCTATCTTTGGCTTTTATACTTTGCTTTCTTTTTTTAATTTTTTTTTAAACCACTAGTAAGAAAAAAAGGCAACATGTTCTTGTGGATGTGCACGATTATCAGTGTTAAGCGTGAGTGGTGCTATACTGAAGTGTCATCTGATAACAATGCTTCATTCTACAAACAGCTAAAGTGGTAGCTGAGTAACTCTAAAAGCA